GTCTCGGCCATGGCTGAGGTTGAGCACCTTGGGGATGTGTTGCCCTTGTGTGTGCTTGGTTTGAGAGCCCTATAACTCACTTGTGCTTGCAAGAGTGTGAATCGATTGCGAGTGAGTGATTCTAGAGCGATTGCATTAAGAGATTGCATCAAGTGGCACTAGTTGTTCGAATTGCAAGCCGGTGGTGTTTTTTACTCTTGGAGGTTGCCACCTCCTAGATGGCTTGGTGATGGTCTCCATCGAAGCACGCAAAGAAGATTGTGCGGTACTCTGGAGAAGTGATTATGAGGGGGATTGTGCTCACCCCGCGGGAGCCATGAAGAGCAACTCTAGTAGAGCGAGACGCGAAGGGCGACAAGTGTTCCAGCCGAGTTAAGTGCTAGAGCTTGTAGTAAGCACTCCATGTGGGAGAGTGTGACTTGCGGGTCACCACTAGCAAGAGGACCGGCGGCAACCTTGGAGCTTGTCTCAATGGAGACTAGCGTGTTGGCAAGCACGTGAAACTCAGGATAAAAATCATCGTGTCATCCTTGTCTTTCCATTGGTTTGCATCCCCTTTACACAAGCTTGTATTTATTTTCATATATATTGTGCTTATGTAGTTGCTCTCGTAATTAGTTAGCTAGTGTAACTTGTTAGTTATCTTCTTCCTTGTGTAGCATAGAAGTAGCTCCCTTGCATAACTAATTTGGTTTTAGTAACCTTGTTAGTTGCATTGCTTAGTTTGTGTAGCTAAGTAATTTGAACTCTCTAATTTGGCATTAGTCGTCTTGTTATTGAGCATTGCTAGTGAGCTTAGGCTTTGTGTTTTTGCATACTAGTTGTGTAGGAGCTCCCCCGTGCTTGAAGTACTAGTTACATAGATTTGTGTGACCTTGCTCCTAGAATTGGTTAGGTGAGCTCTAACTAGCCCGACACCTTTGTTGCCTAATTAGGATCTTTTTAAGGTGCTTATGAACTTTGATAGAGGTGTGTAGTCTTGGCTAGACCGATAGTTTTAATTCTGTATTTGTTTCGGTTAACCGACGCAGTTAATTTTGGAAATAACTATTCACCTCCTCTAGTCCACCATCTCGATCCTACAAGTGCTAGCGTCCAAACGTCGCGCCTCAGTTCCCACGCCTGAACTCTACGTATCGTCCGACTCGACGCGGCATCTGCTCCCCAATCGACCCCACGCGACGTCTATGCCTCGCCCGACCCCACGCATCAAGCGGGTCACTTTACAATATGTGTCACACTCGATCTACTTTTGTAATATCTAGATACAACACTTACAACATATGTCTGAAGATAATTGAAACACTTGAAACATGAGTCTAAAACACTTGCAAAAACACCTAAAAACACTTAAAAACCATTACGAACATACGTAACGTCCTGATAAAACACTTGCAACATATGTGCAAAATATATGCAACATCCAGATAAAAACACACAAAACATATGTGTGAAACATATGCAACATTCTGATAAAAACACTTGCAATATACGTTTGCAAAATAGATGAAACATTGAGAACAAACATTTGTAACATACGTGTACAACCAGTGCAACATATGCAACATCCTGATCTACTTTTACAACATCCATACGAAACACTTGCAACATACCTCTAAAATATCTGAAACACTTGCAACATACACTTGCAACATGTGTTTTCAGCACAACACCTACTGCTGCTTGGACGATTAGAGGCTCGTTGATACAGAGCTCGACGCTGGTGCGAAGCTCGATGCCGCAGAGTGGCATGCAGCTTTGGTGGAGAAGGCGACCAACGTGGTAGAGAACGTCGCAGCGGGCGGCTGGCCCGGTGGAGAGGAAGGATGGCGGGCGACGGCGCTGGAGCATGGTGGACAGAGAGGATGGTGGTTGGTCAGACGCGGTGGAGAGCGTTGCGGCAGCGTGGTCACGATGGAGCACGCGCGCGGTGGTGCGGACGCGACGGCGGTGCGGTGAATGGAGAGGAACAAACGACACGAGCAAATATGGTTGAGACGAGCGGATACACAAGTGCAGAGTTGGGTCATTGGACTGGTGTCGTCTGGCCCATCAACAGAGGCGTCCAGATAGATGGACGTCCTTAGCACAACATTAGGGTTTCAAAAACTGTCGAATTTACTTTCTCGCTGGTTTTGAAAGCTATTTCAGCGGACGTAATGTCACTGTCTCGTAGATAACACAACAGCTATCCAATGTCATGTCACACGAGATTTTAATAACAAAAACTATACGCATACTCGGCACAAGTTTCATACGTTTATGTGACTCGGATCACTTCACATCTTCATTTTCCAAGCAGCTCATAGTAACAGACTAGAGGGGTAGTCAATGTCGTTCTTAGCAAGCGTGGTAAAGGAGACATGCAATTCAAGGCTTTAAGCAAGGTATAAAACCAACCCTGGTTTAATTGTGATAATCACTTAGTTGGTTAAGTTTTATTAGCACTTAATTATTACAAGTGAATTGAAAACTCGAACCACCATTAAATTGCACATATTTAGCTTAAGACATAAAATTCATTGTCGAAAATACTACATATATCTAACCGTAGAAACTTAACATTGGATTGAAAGATGAAAGGAGTGAAGTAAATACCAGGAGACTTCAGGAAAATAAATGAGCTTATGGACCATTCAGCTTCTTAGAGATTAATTTATTGGTAAATAAATTCTTCAACTAGGAATCTATCTATTCACACGCAGAAGGAATATTTCAACACTTTGAGTTACAACTAGTAGTAACTAGAAGATATCTCTTGCATTGTTGCGGGACTTTCTTATCAAACTAGCCAATACTATGAAAGAACCTAACAAAATTAATTAATAATAAAATCAGATATATTATTTATAAGATGACGTAATGACAGGATAAATAACAATATATATTGAAAATAATAATTGCACGCATTGGAGGTGATGTGGATCTTTTGCACGGAGAGGATGAAAAATAGTGGAGGATGACATGACATTTAGTGAGGGATGATGTAGGTATTTAATGGAAGATGAGGTGGAAAGCTTGCAGGTTGAGATAGAAAGTTAGTGGGTTTACTTTACCTCTGTATCTGAATAAAAAACTGTCTTAAGTTAAAAATTTAATGTTTGACCAAATTTATAAAAAATTGCAGCAATATTTATAACACCAAATGAATACATTAAAATGTATTTCAATGTGTATCTAGCGATACTAATTTGGTGTCATAAATCTTGGAGCTCTTTTCTATAAATTTGGTCAAATTTTAAAAAAAATTGAATTAAAATGACTCTAGGAATTGATTCATTTAAGTAAGATAGTAGTAGCATATCCTGTGCATTGTTATGATAATTATGAACGATCTAAAATGAAATTAAATTATATATAGTTACTTATATGAAAGGATAAACTATTATAAATAAATGTTAGTGGATAACGTGTCATGCTATATGTATAACTAAATATATAGTAGTGGATAATATTATGTTTTATAGTAAATTTATATAATACTTGTTTTTTTCTAAATTATAAGACATTTTGATTTATACGTAGCTTTTGCTACGTACCTATTTCCTCCGTCCCAAAATATCTGTCGTTTTCGCTTTCCGAGAAACTACTTTGACAAAATTTATATTAAAAAATATTAATATTTATGATACATAATTGGTATCATTAAAAATATCTTTGAATCTATTTTTTTAATAAATTTATTTGGAGATACAAATAGTACACGTATTTTATATAAATCGAGTTAAACTTGTGCACGAAAACCGAAAACGACGAATAAATTAGGAAGAGGTAGTAGATATATATTATATCTAGATATATAGTTAAAGTTAAAGTAATATATATACTAAAAAGTCAAAACGCGATGTAGTTTTGAATCAAGGCCTTGTTTAGATTGGGGTTAGGAATCAGTATTTGACACTGTAGTATTTTCGTTTGTATTTGACAATTATTGTCCAATTATGGCCTAACTAGACTCAAAAGATTCGTCTCGTAATTTACAATCAAACTGTATAATTAATTATTTTTTATCTACATTTAATACTCCATACATATGTCCAAAGATTTGATATGATGAAAAGAGAGTGAATGCACTATTATAGATAGAACATGGAAGCGAGACGAGGGATATCGCGTGTTTAGTTCGTTGAATTTGGGAATTTGGACCATTGTAGCACGTTCGTTTTTATTTAGCAAATAGTATTTAATTATGGACTAATTAGGCTTAAAACATTCGTCTCGTAATTTCCAACTAAACTGTGCAATTAGTTTTTTCATCTATATTTAATGCTCTATACACATATCGTAAGATTCGATGTGATAAATACTGTAGCACTTTTTAAGATTTTGGGTAGCAACTAAACACGCGCATAGTCGGTCAAGTCAAAATTTCTGCTGCTGGAGATCAATTATCAGCACAAGCTACCGGCCTCCAAAAAGAACTATTCCTACAAGAAATCTCACGCATAACGCACCTCGCAGCCACAGGCCACAGCCCATCCCACCAGGATCCTTGTCCCACATGGCAGTCCCTTCTGGTAGATGCGGCCCGCGTACGTTACACCAAAACCATCCAGCAACGTCACTATTGAATTATTGATACGGCTGAGCTCCCACGGAATGGGCCGGCGCCGGTGGGGTCGTCAGTCGTCACGTGACGCTCGCCAGGAGGCGTCCACCCGGCGTCCCGGCACAGGCCGGCAGGCGGGCCACCCCACGTGCGCGACCCCATCGATCTTATCCACGCACCCGTGCCGGCCGCGCCACGTCGTCCTGCCTTCGACTGACGTGCACGGACCACCGTGCACCCCTGCGCCGGCCCCACCCGCATCCGTACTGCGGTCCATGAACCGGGTCTAGGGAGAACTGGCCCAGCTCCCAACTGATCTATAAATAAGCGCTGCCTGCTTGGCTTCATACCTCCTTCTCGCCCAGATCCGGCAGTTTTGTGGGTAGAGGACTAGAGACTGCACCAGATCGGGAGTCTGGCCGTGGCAGTTGGGTGATTACGACGGAGAGGGATGGGCCTCCTCGACAAGCTGTGGGACGACACCGTCGCGGGCCCGCGCCCGGACACCGGCCTTGGCCGCCTCCGCAAGCAGCCCGCGCGCCCCGCCGCCGTCAAGATCAATGGTGAGTGATCAGGTGACCGCCGCTGCTGGAAGAAAAGAAAAAAAAAACACATGCCCCATCGTAGTCGGCGTTCCCATTCGATCTGACTTGTGGTTTCGTCGACCGTGTAGATCCGGCCGAGGACGCTGTGGCGTTCGTTCCGCCCTCGCCGGCTTCGGGCAGCGAGGAGACGCCGGTGAAGGTGACGCGCAGCATCATGATCAAACGCCCCGCGGGGTACCCGTCGTCGCCGAGGAGCGCCGCAAGCACGCCGCCGGCCTCGCCACTAGGGACTACCCCGCCCATCTCGCCGTTTGCCGGTGCCGGTGAGTGCCCTGCCAGAGACTCGGCAGCCCCCTTCGCGTGCGTCCATTTATTCCGGGTACGGGTAGGGGTAGTTATGTCATTTCCGGACGGCGCACCCGTGCCGTGCCTCATTGGAAGCGTCGTGACGGGTGGCTTTCGGTTTTGTCGCCCAGTTAGGAAGCGTCTAGATGGGGCGTACTGGGGAAAGGGCTTTTTGGACATTTCTGCCCAGTGGCATTGGGTGCTTTTAGCTCTCGGGTCTCCATCGTGGATTCATAGCTGGATATTATCGTATTTAACTAGTTGATAAGTTATCATTTGTGTCTTGAAATGCAGCAACCATATCGGATAAACGTAGCTATCATTGGGGTTGGGGTAGGCAACAAGAGGAAAATGGACTTGCTTTTTTTGTTTATGTAATAATAATATGAATCCAATGATAGAGATCGTTTGATCTGTATGTATCACTTATGGACCTGCTTTATCATAGTACAAGGTAGTAGCTGTTTAGCAATACACATGAGAAGTTGTCTCTATCAATGGTCTTGCCTAATTTAAGCTGCGAGTAGATGTTTCGTTGATGATCTTAGAGTGGACGACTGAGCCTCTAGTCAAGAGGGTAGCCACCATTTCAGAGCAGAGTCAGTGAATTAGTTAGCTGAGTCAGATATCTTTACTAATCTGTCATGAAGCTCTGGTATACAAATTATTCTACTGAAGCTGCTATTGTGATATGGATTAATCTAAGCACCTTCTGTAAATTTGCCCTACATACCAAACTAAACATTGATGAGTGTCTAGAATCAATCACACAAAGGATAGTTGTGTAACAACATTTTAGTTTAGCAAGTTGTTATTTTATAGTAGTGTATACTCTCGCAGTCTTGACGGATTTTAATTGTCCTAAGTCAAACCATTGTAAGTGACCAAATTTATCGATAAAAATAGTAGATATACCATGTCAAAGAGGTAAACTTTAAAAAATACATTTCACAATGTATCTAATGACTAATGAAGCTCATTTGATATTGTAAATATTTTTGTTCTCTTCTACAAACTTGGTCAAATTTAGCATGGTTTGACTTAAGACAACTGAAAATCCATTATATCCAGGACGGAGCGAGTAATACGCTTGTTGACCTGCTAATTTTATCCAAACTTGTTATTAACTTGTTACTGTGACTAGCATGGACCATAAGAATACAACTAATTTCACTCAAAAGAGAAGCTATTCCAGCTGCATGTATTAATGGGCTTTTAATATTTCTGAGTGCTATCAGCATCATCTGTTTCATTCTGTTGATTAGATATTGCTTAACCTTGAATACCAAATTTACTAGGTGGCCGCTTCAGAAGGAAATCATCATCTGACGCATATGAGAGGGCAACCCCACCAGGGACGACCAGCCACCCTCCTTCCTTCGAAGTGTGAATTGACTGCACCCTCACACTTGTTTTTGCTCCTTGACAAGCATCTACATCACCTAAGGTAGACAGGGAGGAGAGAAGACATCAAGAGGGGAACGGGGATGAGTTGCGTGTTTACCTCTACTGTGATATATTGTGGAATGTGTATTGTTTCCTATCTACTACGTGGCATGTGTTGTATAATATGTTGAAAGCTCATGGTGCCGTGCTGTGTCAATAAGGTGCTATGTGCATAGGGTGGCTCAGGGTCAGGGCTGTGTGTGCGCTTTGCCGCAGCTTGGATCTTGCCGTTGGCTGTGTCGTGTGTTTCCTCTGCTGCTATGTCTTTACGGATGGTGTGTGGAGGTTGGGTTCATGCTTGTAATGTTAGCTGGCTTGAGGTGGACTACTACCTAGTAGCTGAAGGTGTTTGCTTGAACTCTCTGTGAAATGTAATGTGAACTGTGATGCGGGATAGTGCTAAGATGAATAGATGATCGTTTGGTTGTCTTGTCGATTGTGCATTGTACTGTCTCTTATGGGTGCAATTGTGACTAGTTAAAAATGGCTGGAAGTACCCTTAAGCATCAAGTGATGAACAACGATTCTGTATTTCTGTTTGTTTGACTTAGTTTCCTGGGTGAGCTAGACTATGATAGTTGTATCTATGTGGTCGATGAAGCTCGCCGCAGCTGACTGGTATATTTTCAGAAGGCGGCCACATGCATGGAGGTATGTACTGTATGAAATTATATGAACCGCGTACCCTGCATTGCATGGTCGATAGATGTATTTGGGGACATTCATCTCTTGAGATTTGAAGAGCATTACCAATTAAGTTTAGATTAAATACATAGTAAGTAAGAGTGTCTGCCATATACCTCGGCTCCGCTCCATGACTAGACTAGAAAATACTAAATCTGTTTCAAATTATAGTTCGTTTGATTTTTTTACTCTAAGTTTGACCACTCGTCTTATTCCAAAATTTGACCCCAGGCAATTGGACCAAAAGCAGTAGGAACAGAGTCAGGCATGATATTTTTTTCACTCCTCAAATTTAGATCAGTATGCTTAAATACATATTAACATCTACAAATTCTATTATATGTACTATCAAGTCATCTTTTATGTAGAATTGAATGAAACTAATTTGACATTGTTGATTCATTTTACCACTATAACTTAGTTAAATCTAAAAAAAGGACTTACAATAAATCTAAAGTCAACCGTAATTTTAAGGGGACAGAGTAAATTTTCTCCAAAACATCAATTGTATAGTGCGGCCACAGCCACACAGAACCTTCATATTTAATCTGAATCTTTAATCGCATAGGATTTGATCAGTAGTTACGTTACGTTATATTTGGCACAACGGCACGAAGCCTTAGCCCGGCACGAGCACAACACGGCCCGGTGACTAGCGGGCTCAGGCTGGCACGGCCCGGTGACTAGGGCTGTGCCTGGGCCACTCCTTAGGCTGGGTGGGCGGCATGGCACGGCCCGCTAAAAAAACACACACACACACACATATATATATATATATATATGATATTTCACTTCTTAACCCTAACTTTTCTCCCTCAGTCTCCCTCCCCAGCAAGTGACGGCGGCCTCCTGTACTGATTGCTCGACACCTCTTCGCGACTCCGCCCGTGTCACTTCTCACCCGATGCCCCAGCTGGCCCTCGCACCACCCGTCCCCGTCCTCCCCAACCTCACACCAAGCCACAGAAAGAGCTTCCTCCACTGCCCTCCGCAGCTCCGCTTCTCAACTCCTCCCGTCCAAGTAGCCATAGCTTGGCTCCGGCGCCACCATTGGCTGGCCGCTGCCACCTCCACGCCCGGCCAGTGGGCGTGAGCCTTGGTGAAGAGAGCGCCGTCGCTTAGCCCTACTTTGTCTTGTCTCCATGCGTAGCGCCTGCCCCTGCCGCCTTGCATCCGCCTCTCCTTCCTCCCTCGGTGGGCCTTGGTGGCTCGGCTTGTTTGGCGGCGGCGTGCTTTTTTCGCCACCAAATTCGGCCGGCCCGACGGGTCGCGTGCTCGCCGATAGCCGAGCACGAAGCACGCCCTCGACGACGGGCGGCCTGTCGTCGTTCCTACATGCCCGGCCCGATCGAGCCGTGCTCGGTCCGGCTCGTGCGGGCCGGGCCGGGCGCACGAAATGACCATCTATACTTATGTTGGTGCTCGAGTTCAGCTGTTGTAAATAAAAAGTAAACACTGCTGAACCTTCCTGTTCCGTGTACTACCTGCAAATCATATTTTCATGGCGTTTTGCCATTGGCTTCAAGTAATTTCTCCCCAATCGTGGATATCTTCCTGTTCCTACCTCTACCTCCAAAATATTTGGCCAGGCTCTTTGGGTCTACTACAACCAAACATACCATTTGCGGGCTTGCTTGTAAATCCAGTCGTACCGCAACAGCGCCACTGTCACTGCCTCCACGGCCCCACCTAGCAGACCCCACCAGGCGAGCTGGTTGAACCCCACCAGGCAATTGGGCCGGCCCGTCTAGTCGTTACTCGTCAGCCATCACCTCTTCGCCTAAACCCTCGCGCCGCCCGAATTTTTTATTCGTCAGCCCTTTTTTAGCCCTTTTTTTCGCCTCCCTCGAATCTCGATCGACCACCAGGCATAGCGTTTGATACATGTATAGCTCGAGGATAGCGTAGTGATTTTCATCTCACATGTTAGTTCCAATTAAGTGTGATTTGGTATTTCTGTGTGACATGGTAATCAAGATCCTAAGGGTTAATTAAGAATTAAACTAATGTTTTCTTATTCTAGCACTAGAAATCTGTGGAGTTATACGTACATAAGTTGTTTGGTTAGAGCAGTTCTGTTTCCATTCATCTATTTACATAAAAAAAAAACAGTCTGAAATCTGTGGAGTTATACGTACATTGTCTTAATTTGGGGATGCAAAGTTCCGAGTAAAAAATAAAGTTCGAACGAGGCCTTAATAATAACAGAAAGTTAAATGAAAATTTGCTCGGATGCCAAGAGGAGCCGATCATTATTCACTAGCCAAGCTGTTCATGAAGATTCTTTGCATCAAACAAGAACCTGGCAAACGAGGTTTGCGATGAGCCGTCGTCCTGCATCGCTGCTATTGCTTCATTCTTGAGTGCTGCCGCTCGGACCCTGATGCGCCTGCCCTCCTCAGATTCCATCACCAGCCTCACCTTGGCCTCCACCTCCTCGGATTTGACGAAGCCCGTCGTGTACCCCTCCATCTCCACCCCAACGCCCATGCCCTCGGTCACGAACACCTTATTCATCAGCTGCTCCGCGTAGAACGGCCAGCACAGCATCGGCACACCCCCCGTGATGGCTTCCAGCGTCGAGTTCCATCCGCAGTGCGTCACGAACGCGCCCGTCGACGGGTGGCGCAGCACTTCAACCTGCGGCGCCCATGACCGCACGACGAGGCCCCGGTCCTTGGTCCGCTCCAAGAACCCCTCTGGAAACAGCGTGTCGAGACTCTCCAAACCGCCGTCGTCGGTGCCGGCCGGCGGCGTCCGCACAGCCCACAGGAACCGCTGCCCAGACCTATCGAGGCCAGCGGCGATGTCTCGTAGCTGCTCAGCCGAGTGCGCGCATCTGCTTCCGAAGCAGAGGAACACGACGCTCTTCTCCGGCTGCGCGTCGAGCCACGCGAGGCACTCGTGCCGCCTCCTCTCAGCCGCGCGCTCTTGGTCCGCTTCTGCGGCGCTCGTGCCGTCGCCGCCGATGACCAGCGGCCCCACGCAGTAGACCGGGGGCAGCACGCGGCCGGGGACGCACCGGGGATCCCTCAGCGCCTGCACGGCCGGGCTCTCCACCGACTCGAACGTGTTGACGAGGACGCCGCTGCCGTCCGTGCTGCGCGTCCAGACGTCCACCATGGTCCTGCATAGCTCGTCGTCGTCCGGGTGCTCCAGCAGCTCCCTGACGAGATGGGACGCCGGGAACGGCGGCACGCCGAGGAACCGGAGCGGCGTGTCCCCGAGTTCCTTGAGGCCCGCTCCTCGCCTGCCGGAGAGCAACGACGGCAGCTGAGCCACGACGGCCAGGGTGGCGGCGGCCGAGGCGAAGAGCGTGTACACGGGGACGCCCAGCTTCGCGCCGACGTCGACCGCGTCGGTGGAGAACATGCCGACCACCAGGGAGTGCACGCGCTGGCGTGGGACGACGGAGCGGAGGAACCTCTCCAGCTCGTCGTTGTACCGTCGCAGCACCTGCAGCGTGAGGAGGAAATGGTGCTTGCCGGAGACGGCGAGGTCGGCGTACGGGACCGGGGGGAGGACGTGGAAGGTGATGCCAGGGTTGGAGGCAGCGACGCGGCCGACGTCGACGATGCGGAAGTCGGGCGAGCTGGCGGCTGGCTCGGCGATCACCATGGTCACGTCGTAGCCGTGCCTGAGGAAGACCTTGGCGAGCTGCACCATGGGGACGATGTGGCCGACGCCGGGGCTCGGGTACAGGATGACGGTCTGCTGCTTCTTCATTGTCATGGCGACAGAGAGATGCTCACAGAGGAATCTTGGGGCGCCGCGGTGGTGCGCGAGTGGATCTTTCCTTTGGCTGTGGCTCGTCTTAAATGTGATTGTAAATTTCTAGACCAGAACAGTATTTTTTTCTCGTACAAACCCATCAGCAACAGTATTTCTCTACGAACCGGCCAACCCAGAGAGCAACTCGATATACGAGCAGCTACGCTCTGCCTCGCCGGAGATGCAACTGATCAACGTGTTTCATTTTTTTTTGGAAAGCCATCCGCCGGAAATATTAGGTGCAGCCTCCCTGCATCGGCGCCTCCTCGGCCCTCGCAGGCCAGACGACGTTTAATTATGGCTGTCAGGTAGCGTCATGGCAGGATGCTTCCTATTCCCATGATGCCGAGCATCTCCGATAGACTAAAAAAACAATTGATAAATCAATGTGTTTGTCAAGTGGTTAAAAAGTAATAGAAGTACATTCTCTAGTTTCCAAAATCTACTTTAGAAGAAAATTTTGTTTCAGGAATCATAAACTTTTATTTCTCTCTTGTACATTTGTACTGGAAACACTGTCATACTCGTTATTCTTCCTCAAATTGTTCCACCTTTAAATAGGTCGATCTCAGCCTTGTTCGTTTGGCTAAAATTTGGTTTATGCTGATTTGTTGTGTTTATTCGCTGAAAAGTACTGATGAAGTAGTGCAGAACAATATGTGGATGTATATGTCCGCGTAATTGAATCGATTTTTCTAAGTGCGGAAAGATTGTGAGTTGAGATAGAGAGTTTTGGAGAACAATTTTTTTCAATCTTGCTGAGAAAATAAATATTGGAAGTGGGATTTGAAATTCTTGAAGATGCTCTGGACAGTTGGAAGAAGCCAAAACCAAAACCTACGCCTATAGCACACGACACAACACCCGGTTTTATTAAATTTATTATTCATTAATATAATCGTGTAATGAGGGTGCAGCAGCTACTGCAAGTTGTGTGCTGAAATTCTGAAAATACTGTAGGCCTGGCACAGCTACGACCGCTGTGGCTTCTAGCTGCAGGGTACTCTCCGTTTAAAATTATAAATTGCTTTATCTTTTTTTTAATTACGTCACTTTTACGGTAATGCTGGGGTCAGAGTCAGACGTCCCTCCGCGTCGGACATCTCGGCTGGTGGACCCGTCGTCCAAAATTATCGTTCCTATCCGCTTTCTCCGTTCCCCTCCTGTCACCTGTCACCGTAGTTAAAAAAAAAATCACGCATCCGCACCGCGACCGGCTCCGCCGTAGCTCCCGCACGCCTCCCTCTCTACCGCGTCTCCCGCGTTGTCTGCCATATTTTGCTCAAAGAACATGTTGCAATTATATGTTTAAAGTGTTTTAGATGTTTGAGAGGTATGTTGTAATGTTTTAGATGGATGTTGCAAAAGTAGATCGAGATATTGCATATATTGTAAGGGTTGTACACGTATGTTGCAAAGGTATGTTACCAATGTTTTATCTGTGTTTTCCGGAAGCATGTTGCAAATATGTTTATCTGTATGTTGCATATGTTTCACACATACGTTGTATGTGCTTTATCTGGATGTGGCGTATGGTTGTAATGGTTTTCAAGTGTTTTCAGGTGTTTTTTTTTCAAGTGTTTCAGAAGCATATTTCAAGTGTTTCATCTTCCCTTCAGATGTATATTGCAACTATTTGTATTTTGGATGTTTTAAAAGCAGATCGAGTGTTGCATCTCTCCACCTCGCCTTTTGCTGCATCGTCTCGGTGTGTCCTCCTCCCGGCGTCGGCAGGGCATCCATACAACGCTGCGGCCGAGTCCTTCCAAATCGGAGGGGCCGCCCCCTTCCCCTCTTGTCGCTTGGGCGCCCCCCCCCCTTAGGAGTGCGCGAAGCGAAGTGCAGCGCGCGGGCATCATCTGGACGCCCGGTCGCTAGCACTGCCGTAACTTCATTCATCAAGATATATGTTATATCCAGATACCTAGATTTATATGTATTAGAAGAACTAAAATAACTTGTAATTTCAAATGAAGGGAGCATGTAACGAGGAAGTGTCTTTTGTGATGTTATCAAAGGATCTACTCCAGCGAGATTCATTAGTACATGTTTTTAGCTAATATATAAGTCATTTCCTTTCAAGATATAAATCTCGATCAGGGGCGGACCCAGGATTCACCAAAGACTAGGGCATTATATTAGAGATCATTGCTATCTATGCTTGGCTATAGAAAAAATAGTGTTTTGTCCACTGTAATTAAGGGCTAAGACTAGGGCCATAGCCGTAGTGGCCCTAGTGCTAGGTCCGCCACTGATCTCGATAATCAAATAGCAACTGCATATAAGTTCTTCTTTTGCTCCAGGCATTCATTCATGCCTAAGTATTTTGAAGGACATAATAAGACAAAAAAAGGCATATATATTTAAGCAGCCTGTCATAAAGAGATTTTAGATACCTTACCTTTGTTTTCATTATTCTGTCATGTACAACTATTGCGGTAATATAAATACATTATCATCAATTCCACACCATAACCCAGATCCGCAAAGGTAAGAAGAACAATCAAATTATGGCTTGGAAAATTCAGATAAACCTTATGCCTAGATACTACTATGATTGTTTTGGGACAAACATCGCTGATCTGACCAGTCACCGGTGTCGCACGATAGGCTAAAGGCCTGTTCAGTTGCTGCCCTGGCAGACAAATGCGTGCCAGACAACTAATCCTTGCCACCAAGCATCCAAAATCAAGGGTCCCTAAATGCAGCACCCGTAGAATTTTTCCGAAAAAGGTACACGTGACAAAAGCCAGCGGAGCAGTGATGATGAAAACCAGACGTGGAAACGGGACGGCGGAGACCACTGTCTCGGTGGAACCAACACTTGCCGACATCAACTAGTAAATCTCGCTTTGCCGAATTAAAGCACTTTTCCCTGCGATTTGGGTGGTGCAGAGGTAGCACGTCCCTCCCCCTCCCGTAGGCCTGCGCGACCCGTTCCAAAAAGGCACGACGGATTCTGCAGCGGAGCCACACAATGTTACAAGAAAACTCGGTCGTCGAAAGCTCGCCGGCAGTGGAGTACACCCATTTCAGCTGGACAGCTGGATTCACCTGAGCCCCGACTACTACCGGCCTCCAGTCTATATAAACTCGCCGATCTCGAGCATAATATCGTAGTAGGTAGTAAGTTGGTAACACAGCAAGACGATCGAGCTGCAGTACGTACACCATCGCAGTGCGCCCCATAACTTAAACTCCGATTCCGCCAATGGCAACCAAACCCAAAGCGTCCATGTCCATTCTCCTCCTCGCCGTTGCAGTGGCCACCACGGCGTGCACGACCGCCTTCGCGCGCAGACCAGCAGGCTCGGCAAGCTCGTCGTCACCGGCGTCGTGCCGTGCAACACCGGCACGCTGATCGACGCCACCACTTCTCCGGCATTCCCAGGTGCATGCGACAACTTCCAAATCAATGATGCAACCTCCGCACGTTACCGATCTGCACATGCAACTGATGTATACAATACAATACAACGGTGCCCGCAGACGCCACCGTGGAGCTGCGGTGCGGCGGCAACGTGGTGGCGGGCGGGACGACGAGCCGCAACGGGTCGTTCGCGATCGAGGCGGACCTGACAAGCGCGCTGGCGGCGCTTGTGGGCTCCTGCCAGCTGCTGGTCGATATGCCGCTGGCCAAGTGCAACGCCAGCCTGCCGGCGGCGGGGGCGCTGGCCTCCTACCTGCAGGGCTCGCTCGCCGGGATGCTCAGCGGCGTCTTCCGCCTCGCCCCGGCCGGCTTCTCCTTCCGCATGAACTGACCGTGCATATGTGGGTTGCATTGCATCATCAGTATCTAAAAGACCAAAACCTAACGAGAACGAGTAAAAACTTCCATGTATGCTGGCGACGGACCACGCAGTTACAAAATAATACAGTACCGTGCCTGAAAATAAATGAGCATGGATAAGTATATAGTGTGATGGAAATAATGGAACAATATATAAGTCTGCTCATCATCAAGCGCCCGTAGTTTTATTTCTGATGATGCTTTGGTTCCAAACTTCAAGAACTTGAGTGTTATTCGCGTTAGTTCCGTCTCAATCGCGTGTTTACCCGTTTTTGCCTTGAAGCTTTTTGAAAAATTAAATCCGATGATATTTGCATAGATAAATCAAGACAAGTTTGACTACAGCCTGTTCGTTTAGCTGTTGCTTGTCGTAAACGATCGTAAATTTCCAGCCGGAACAATATTTTTCTCTCACACAAACCAGCCAGCAGTACTTCTTCACGAACCAGCAACGATACGAACCAACCAACCGAATAGGCTGTAGCTAGCTGGCTTCTATATAAACCGTTCAGTTTAATCTGTTGGGCTCATTTAGCAAAACTGCTCCTCTGCCATAACCGCTTTTAGTTTTAGTTGCGGATCGATCCCATACTAGAAGAAGAGCCCACACACCACCGTATGAGAGCAGCCACGGTGACGGGATCCCCTTCGAGGCTTCGACAGGCCGCTCTGCGTGCTCGGCCACGCCCAGCCGCGACACCGCAGAGCGGTGGGCGGTTGACATGGAACACGGAAATGTCAGAGTCAGCTGTCGAGATTGGTTGCGTCCTCGGGCTGGGGCATTCGTTGTCGCCAAAGGCGGTCGTGTACTGTGTACACCCCAGCCTCAGCCCGCGGGAAACGAAGGCGGAGCTCACTGACGACGACGATATCGAAGGCGTCCAGTGGCTGTAAGGGCCCAGCCAGGGGTTCAGTCTCAGGCTCTCAGCTCGTTCTACCAGCACTCCAACGGGACCTGCTAGTTTAGGCCCTATCTGGTACGGCTCTTCATTAAGACTCTACTGTTAGATGATCGTCAACTAATTGGCCCAACGGTTAATTGGATCTTTAGATCTGCGTGGTGATCAGGGGCGTCCAACCGTTCCATAGTTAGTGGACCTCTGTCGCACAACACCATGAAAAGAGATGTGGGGGCCGGAGCACAAGCCATGAGGTTTATCTGAGCCGCCAGACGCCCCACCTACATTCCCTCACTACTGGATTCAGGCGCTTTGCCGAGTGCCTAATGCACTCGGCAAAGCCTTTGCCGAGGACAACACTCGGCAAAGAGCCTCCGGTAAAAAAATCCGTTGACAAAGAATTCTTTGCCGAACGCCTTTTATCGATTTGCCGAGTGTAATCTCGCATTTTCGGCAAAGAAAAGTGACCGTCACGGCGGCGCCGGGTATAAGTTAGCACATGCTTTGCCGAAAGTGCCATGTCGAGGCGCTTTCAAAGATTTTTATTTTTTTTCAAAATTTCCTTGTCGAGTGCCCTACCGGGAGACACTCGCAAATATATTTTTTATTTTTTAATAATTTCTTTGCCGAGTGCCCCCGCCAGTCGGTATTTCGGCAAATATTTTTTAATTTTTTTTCGTAATTTCTTTGTCGAGTGCCCCGTCGTATGCACTTTCGGCAAATATTTTTTTTAAATTTTTTCGACACCGGCAAAGCCGAAATTCGCAAGTTCCCGCCCCGTGGTCGACACTTTCGCAAAGAGGCTATTTTTTTATTCTATATTCACAAACACAGCATATAAGAGATATATATAACATCTGTGACATCACAAACACAATATAGCACATATATATCACATCTATCTCATTACAAAGGCAATACCACATATATATCACTTGTCGATCACACAATATCTCACATACACGACATCACAAGCATAATAGGTCCAATATCCATCGAAACAAGTCGATAGTTGATCACAGTGCATCACATGTCCATCAAGCGGTGAAAAAGAGATACAAACTACCGGTGGGGAGGAAACTGAGTGCTTGGTGAAGGAAAAGTGCCATCGCTTTGCTTATACTTTGAGATGGGTTATTCGAACCACTTGACGGAGGCTGCATAAAGGACAAGAGATTGCATCTGTTAGAGTGGTAATCTAATGAAAGCACTAGTCGAAGCAATTTGGTTTCATACTCACAGGACTAGCTATAACTGGCGGCGACGGTGGAGCGAACTGCGGCATAGCTACACCGTGCATTTGCCCAAAGTTCTGCAGGAACGTCGTAATCTCCGCCAGCTGCTTGGCCTGCCTTTCCCGCTCGGCCCGCTCGTCCTATCTTTCCAGCTCGGCCTGCTCGGTCCTCGCCGCCAGGTCCCGTAGCTCCTGAGCCATCCTCTCGTTCTCGGCCTGCAACATTTTCAATCGAATGTTTCAGTAATGCAAAGGTAACTAAGTTATTTAAAGATCAATGTACGAAGAGTTAAACGGGACTAACACAGGAGTGCGCGACGACCTGCTTCTTTGTGAAGGGGACGGCCGCGTTGCGTATGGCCGGCCTCCGCCTCGTGGTCTCAGTGCTCTCGGATCTAGGAGAGGGAGGGAATCTCACTGGGCTCGAGGGTGCCATCGCCAATCCAGTACCGCCCATGCTTCTTGCCTTGTCCGAGCCTAACTAGGTTACGCGACCAAAGACCACATACGGATAGAGGGATTATACCTAGGGTGCCGGTGAGGTTAGGGTAGCAGGGCGGTGGAGAGTCGTTGCAGTGGCGAGTCGATGCGGTGCAGGAAGACCCACAGTGCCGATGAAGATGATCAGGGTCGCCGAGTCCCTCCCACAGGTCCTCCTGCAAAAAAGGGCAAAAATGGTTAGTGTTGACTCAAAATTTCGGCAGCACCTCCCCTGCACGGGGAGGTTCCCAAAACCTACAAAAAACATGGCACAAAGGCCAACAACCACATGTATACCAAACATGGGCACGAAGGCCAACAACCACCAATATATCAAGAGGAGCCATGTACTTTAGTTCTCTTTCCATGCAGATGAAAGTATTGAAGTAGTACAACAACAATTACTACTAACCCTACAACTACTACTAACACTACTACTAACAACTACTTAATTACTAACGGTACTAATACTAAGAACTACTTAACTATTAACAACAACTACTACTAACCACTACTACTTACTAACTACTACTATTTACAAACTACTACTACTACTAACCCTACAACTAACACTACTAACTACTACTACTAACCACTACTACTATTTACTATCTACTACTACTACTAACCCTACAACTAACACTACAACTAACACTACAACTAACACTACAACTAACACTACTAACTACTACTACTAACACTACAATTAACTATTACTAACACTACTAACTACTACTACTACTAACCCTACAACTACTACTAACACTACTACTAACAACTACTTAACTACTAACAGTACTAATACTAAGAACTACTTAACTATTAACAACAACTACTACTACTAACCACTACTACTTACTAACTACTACTATTTACTAACTACTACTACTACTAACCCTACAACTAACACTACTAACTACTACTAACAACCACTACTACTTACTAACTACTACTATTTACTAACTACTACTACTACTAACCCTACAACTAACACTACTAACTACTACAACTAACACTACAACTAACACTACTAACTACTACTACTAACACTACAACTAACTACTACTAACACTACTAACTACTACTACTACTAACACTACAAGGGTAGGGCTTACCTTGGCGGCAAGAACGACAAGAGCGAGGGCCGGCGACGATGGCGGGGATGACCGCAGCAGCGCGAGGATCAACGGGCGGTCGAAACGGCGCGAGGATCGACGGGCGGTTGGGTCGGCACCTTCCTCTTCTTCCTCCTCCCCCTTATCTTTCTTCCTCTTCTTCCTCAATTTTTACATGTGGAGATGTCTGACTTTTAGGCATCTAACGTCACAACTTGCTCCAAACTTTCTCAAATTTTTACCACGGCCTCCACATGCGATAACAAGACACCTCGACAAGTTTCCTGATTTTCGAACTTCGTTTGGATTTTATATAATTTAAATACACTTTTCCCGCAAGTACATCGTTATGTTGTGACAACAAGATGCTCGTAATTTCATGCGAGTTCCTGGATACGGCCTCAACATATGCCAAACATCATGAATACCATTTTTTGAATGACCAAATTCCATTATTTCATGTACATGCAGTTCAAATTTGAAATAGTCGGAAAAATTCAACGAAACAAAAATAATTAAGGAAATATAGTAAAAAAACTCAAAATTGTCCCAAATTTTGAAATGGAGTTTTAATTACTGTAGCAAGGCCCCAGAAAAAAATAGGGCGAAAAAAACAAAAAAATAATAATTTGCCGAGTGTCAACCTTGGCACTCGGCAAAGAAGCCTTTGCCGAGTGCCAGGTCACAGGGCACTCGGCAAAGAATTAAAAAAACCTTTGCCGAGTGCCTAACAGCGGGGCACTCGGCAAAGGCTGATGGCAGGTGGCCGCCGTCACGCTGGCCACCTTTGCCAACGGCCAAATTTTGCCGAGTGCCCGGCACTCGGCAAAGATTTTTTTGCCGACGGCCAATCTTTGCCGAGCGCCCGGCACACGGCAAAGGAAAATTTTTGCCGACGGCTAAAGTTTGCCGAGTGTTCGGCTCTCGGCAAAGGCAGATTTGCCGACGGCCTATCTTTGCCGAGTGTCGCTGGGTCCGGCTCTCGGCAAAGATTGCCTTTGCCGAGTGCCCGACAGAAAGCACTTGGCAAAGCTTTTTGCACTCGGCAAATCAGCCGTGTCCGGTAGTGCCTAGACCCTAACCGATCTAAGTGAGGGGGCGTTCCAGCGATGGGAAGCACCGCCACCGGCCAACGCCGCCACTACACCGCCGCGCCTCCACTGAGTCTCCACTGAGCACCGTGATGGCTAGCTCGTCTTTTGCGAAGGCGGCCGATGGTTTGCTACCCGCATCCCGCTCTCTC